CCCAGAATCCTTGCCTCCAAGGAGGAGCCTGGTTTAATCTTCTCTACAATGAATCCGTTTGTTTTCTTGGCAGTCCATAGTACATTCAATACTCTTCTCCAGCACCACAGCTCATTAACAAAGATATAATTTCCAAAACCTATTGTCACTATTTACAATTCTTTTTTGTTTTAGTATATTTTAAACACACACTAAAGTAGAAAGAATCATATTTTTATATCTATTGCTGTATCCCAGTGACCTCTAACTTAGTGACTTAAAGTAACTATTATCTCTTGCAGTTGTGTGGGCCAAGGGCACAGGAGGGGCGGCTACGCCCCACAAGTTGTGCTAAGGCTAGACGCATACGAAGCTTTTATCACATGCGTGTAGTACCTCATTTAGAATGAAAATTAGTTAGAGGTTACCAGCCAGAGGCCATGCCATTTTTCTCCTTGACCTTTTTTACGTGGTCTTTAGTGCGCCAAGGTGGCCACCTTTTTCACATGGTCTGTAATGCTTCAGAGGCTTCCAGGAGCACCGAAGTTTTTCTCCTAGAGCAGCTGTTGAGTTTGAAATGCCAACCCAACACATAAACTGTGCCACTAGGGTTCCTTGAGGTCATAGATTCCTTTTATCACTTGTTTTTTGGTTTTTTTAAAAAATTGTTCTTTTTTAAAAATTTTGTTCTGATTTATTCCAAAGCTTGAATACATTGTTTTTCACAAAATGTACTTCCCATTTCCTTTACCCCACTTACCCATCTTATTGAATCACTTGTTTTTAAATTATCAACTCATCACCAATCTTATTTCATATAGACCCTTCAGCCCTCACACTCCTATATTATTTTGAAGCAAATACGCTCAAAATCGTATTTCATGTGTAAATAGTTCTTTAGATTTTTCTCCATTTAGTAATTCCAGTCACCTTTCACATATTCCTGCTCATCTCATAAAGGCTGTTTTCTGTTTCCTGTTGCCTTTTCCACTCGTTGAACAGTCACCACTCTTACTTCTTTTAGCATAGATCAGTTTTCCTTGTAGAATGTCGTCTAATTGGAATCCTGTAAAAGACTGTCATGCGTGGTTTCTTTCACATAGCATGCTTTTAAATTTATCAATGATGTTGTATATGTTAATACTTCATTCCTTTTAAATCCTGAATACTCTTATTATATAATTTTACTAGAGTTTGTTTATCCAGTCTTCTCTTGATGAGCATCTGGACTTTCCCTAGTTTTTTATCTGTTACAAATAAAAATGCTGTCTAAGACTTTTCGTGCATCTGCTTTCTTCTCTGATAAATACCTGAGTGGATTTGTAAGGTTAAGGGTAAATGATGGCTTAACTTTGTTTTTTTTAGATTTTTATTATTTTTGTGTGAGTGTACCGTCAAATCAGATCTGACTGGTACAGGAGGAGATTGTCCCTCCTTCCCCAGCAGAGCATCTGGTGGATTTGAACCATGCGCCTCTGGGATTGTAGTTGCAGTTCCTTGCCACTAGGCCACCAGAGCTCCCTTCGGCTTAACTTTTTAAGAAGCTGTCAGAAAGCTTTCTGAAGTGATTGTATCCACTTACACTTCCACCAGCAATTTTTGAGAGTTCTCTAAACTTCCTAAATTCTAGCTAACAGTTGGTGTTATTGGTCTCATTCATTTTAATTTAGTAGGTACTTCTCTCCCCTTCCCCCATTTTGTAGTTTGTTCTAATTAAAATAGAAATAAGATCCATGCATTGCAATTACCTCCTTTTTGCTCCTGCTTTTTTTTCTTCCTTGTGTACCATCGAGTCAGATCTGACTGGTACAGGAGGTGATTGCCCCTCCTTTTCCAGCAGAGCATATGGTGGATTCAAAACTTGAGGATTACAGTTGCTTGCCACTAGGCCACCAGAACTCCCTAATTACTTAGATCTTAACTATTTTTTACTTTATGATTCTCACTCCATCTCTCTCTTTTATTCTTTATAATTTTTTTTTTATTTTTAGAAACCCTGACCACTGCCTGGATTTTATGTTTATCATCTGTGTTGCTTATAAATTGATAGGTACATTTAGAGGCCAAAATCAAGGTCAGCTTCAGTACATCCATTTTTAATTCATTCCCTTGTGGTTTTTTAGTTAGAATATTCTATAAAAAGAAACTTTTCATCATTAGAGGAGTTCTGGTGACCCAATCCACAGGTAGGTGTGCTGCTAACCCAAAGGCAGACAGTGCAAATCCACCTGCAGTTCCATGGGAGAAAAATGGGCAGTCACCTCCCATGTGATGTACAACCTTGCAGACTCACTGAGGGATCGGCTCTGAGTCAGTTCTGCCATAATTGCAAGGAGTTTGAGTTCTCATCATTATCTGTTTGGACTCCCTGAAGTCAAGTTTATACACGAAAGATCGGATAAATGCTTGATCATCCCCTTTTATACTAGTTTAAAAATCTGAATTGCTTCTTCAGCATCCTACAAAGATCTAAAACGTATTTCCTTTCTTTGCTGTTGTTATCCTTATTTATATAAAAAATAGTCCCTTTTTGGTTAATGGGAACTCTCTGTAGATTGGCTCCTGAATCTTTTTGACACTATCTTGTGTTCTTTGTTTCCTTCTGTAACAAAATGCTCCATCCATATTTGTTCTTTCTAGACCTGGAATTAATTTTTTCATTAAAGTATTTTGGTTCCTCTGAGAGGAAGAAGGTGTTTAGGGACTGTAAACCGGCCACCAGAAGTGCTCATTGCTCCTGGATTAGTCATTATCTCTAGAATTGCTTTTGAACCTCTTCCCCCCTCCTCCCTTCCAATATCCAAAGGACTTTATTGCAGATCTGGGAGAAGAGAGAGAAAATTCTCTCAAAAACTGCCTCTCCATCTAAGGATGTTTATTGGATTTTATACTTAGGTTAGCTGTTAATGTACTTAACACATTACTGTTGCTAGTTAAAAGTGTATTCAAAATAATAGTTTACATATAGTCACTAATAAACAGATAACGTTATCTGTAGTTTACATTTGCCTAAGAAAAACACAGTTGCAAAAGATAAATGCTAGTTAGGAAAGATGCATTTCCTTTCCAGTAAACAGATTAAAGTTTCTGCTTGACTATAATGAAATCACAACAGGGTCTGAGGACTAAACAAATGTTAGACGGTTCAATCAGTTTTGCAGGCTGGAAACCCAGGATGTCCAGTTTTTAGAGTTTGAATAATTCTGAATTTAATATTATCCTATTATTATGCAAGTGTCAAGGATTTTAGTTCATAGGGTCACTATGAGTTGCCTACGATTCGATGGCACTTAGTATTACATATTATGTTTGTACCAAAAGAGGTTACTCTGATCCAGGGCAAACTGTTTTGGGTTGATTGTTGGATAAGTAGGATTTACTTACAAAGAAATTGTCTCTTTTGATTTGTGGATTCCCCATTGGGGATTAGGGATGAAGACTCGTCTGGCTTCATGGTAAACAGAGGAGATGAGAGAAAGGGGAAAGAGGAACCCACTTTTAACACTTTACTGGTGGTCTTGAGCTGAAACTGCATGTCATCTTGTTCACTTATGTTTTCATGACATTTTCTGCCTTCTGGAATGTAAGATGTATGGATCAAGTCCAGTGGGAGTGGCTGGCTGAACTTTTTGAAACTCCATCCACCTTTTCTTCTTAGCTGGGAGTGATTTCTCTGAAACAGGGCTCAGAGTACAGGATACCTATAGGAGAGGGAGCAGACATGAATGTGGCTTTGTGGTAAGGAATTGCACTGCCAGTGCAAAGATGTGCAGTTCAAATCCACCAGCTACTCTGTTGTATAAAGATGGGCAATCTTCTCCCAGTGAATTCACTGCCTCTGGAAGCCGTCTTGAAGGTCGAGTCACTTAAAACTGGAGAATATTTCATTTTTGAACCCTATCAATGGATAGAATTAAGACTTTTTCCCCCCTTAGTTAAGAAAATTGCATCACAAGTTCATATTGACACTTTCAGTTCACATGTGAAATTAAAGAATTGTGGGTTTTTTAGAAAAATAAAAATGAAAACTCTTATATCTATTTCTTTTTTTATGCCACAATCCTACTTTGTCATCATGCTAGCATAATCACTTGTTTGCTTCATCCCTTATTCCCCAGCACATTCAGATACAGTCATCTCAGAATAATTGTACCAACAGTACTCAAAACAGTTCTAAGATTTTGGGGGAAAAGAGTCAGTTGTTTTCATTCATCATATATATTCTACTCGGGGTGTTTGGTCAAATTAACTGTGGTTTAAATTCACTTGGAATAGTTTCTTTCTGTGTAATTTTGCCTTCAGGTTGATTCACAGGTTTATTACATTTTGCTTTTGATTCATCAGGACAGCTTTTTAAAATCTTACTGGGTATTAAGTGTAATAATTATGTGCTTTCTCAATTAAAATTATAAAATGGAGAATATTAGAAATGTCTAGCTTCTGCTTTTGTCTCTTTTACTATTCCATCTCTCCTGTAAATAATTGGTTTCTTTTCCAAGATATTTGGTATTTTTTCCCCATTTTTAGAAAATATAAACCCACAGACATTTGTATTGGCTTTTTGCGCCTAGCTAAATGGGAGCATGCTATGATACTTATTTCTTCCTTTGCATTTAAGTTTAAAAACATGTATTTCTATATGAGATGCATGGTGTCTACATTGAGCATATTATTGGAGACCATTGTAGTAAAGAAGCAGCCCTGGGGGCATAGTTCTTTGCTTGTGGGTGTTTTGAGCCCACCAGCTGCTCCTCAGGACAAATGTGGGCGGTGGGCGGTCTCCTGTGATAAAGATTTAAATGCAAAAAAAACAAGACCTAGGCCGAAGACATTGGTTAAGATTTGTAACTAATGATGGAAATAGTGATTTGAGAGATAGACACTAAAAAAAGTACATTCATTGCCTTTCAGTGCAAGAAAAATGACAGTCTTTAAAAAATAAACTATAAAATAAAAAATAATACCGATGTTACAGGTTTCATTTCAATCTCTGTTCTCAGGCAAAACTTTTTTCTTCTTAGACCTCAGATTTTCCTGTTCTTGATCCCAGCTGGACTGCTCAGGAAGAAATGGCTCTTTTAGAAGCCGTCATGGACTGTGGCTTTGGAAATTGGTGAGAACTTGGTGCTGAGGGTTGCCTTACATAAGTGAGTTCAGGATGTTAGGAGGGTAGACTATCGAAGGGTAAAGAGAGGAGCTTTGAAAAGAGGAGTTTGGGAGCTGTGTATTTGACACATGATTTAAAAGCAAATCTGTACATTGTTTTCAATGGTGGAAATGCCTCACAGAGAGATGGGGTGCTTGGGTCACTCCGGATTTATCAACAGTGGGAAGCTTGGGTTTCCCTTTCTGAATATAAGGGAAGTTTACACTTACCATGGAGCCATAGTGGCATACTTCTTAGTGCTTAACTGAAAGGTCAGTGGTTCAAACGCATCGCTAGGGAAGGAAGATGTGACTGTTCTTCCATAGAACTTACAGCTTTGAAAACTGTATGGGATAATTGTTCTCAGCCCTGCAGGCGTGCTTTGACTTGGAATCAGCAGTAGTAGAATTGGTTTTTAAATATCAAATATATTTTTACTCCCATCTGATTTTACAAATTTTTATTGGCTGTAGATTTTCTTATTCACTGAAGAAAGTCAAATTTGATGTTGATGATCATGTTTTTATGTGCCATTGACCCAAATCAACTCATAGTTGATCCTTCAGCAGTTTTACAGAGGCTATAAATCACATGAGAGGAGATTGCCCGTATTTCTCCCGTAGAGTAGCTGGTGGATTTGAACTGCCTGGCTTTGAGTTGATGGTGCAGTTTTTTACCCTCCAGGCCACTAGAGCTTCTTAGATGGTCATGCCGACTTCAGCAGATTTTCTGAGGCAATAAAACGCATGGAAGGAGATTGTCCATCTTCCTCCCATGGAACAGTTGGTGGATTCAAACCACCTGTCTTGGTTTGCACTGCACGTGCAATTTCTTACTTGAAATATAGATTTCTTATAAACTATTTTTTTTTCTCTCTTTAACTTCCAAACATCTGCCTAAGTTCAAGCGTGGCAGCACTCGCTGGTTATGAAAGCTATTGCCCTAGGGGGGCAACATCACTGTATAATAATAAGGCTACCAGCACTTTCCTTTTTATTTTTTTTAAATTA